CCCCTTTAACAAAACATGTGCATGTCAGTCTGTGACACTCAACACAAACGCCGAAAACTTTCCAAATTATTTAGGATCTATATAATAAAGGGGAGCAGCATAAAAATCAGCCTCTTCTGTTATACCATAAAGCAGTCACGGCTGAAGAGATAATTTCAATTTAATTACTGAGTTTCAGAAAATCCTGAATTAGCTCCTGTTCTCTTTAGGGTCTTACGAAGTAAAGATCAAAGCGCTTCAGCTTCAGTAGGGACCAAAAACTACTCAGAAAATCCCAAGGCTTCATTTTCACCTGCTTCTAGTTCTAACTGGGGCACGCACGCACGGAGCGGGTGCTGTGACTGAACTGTTGTGCAAAGCGTAGTAACAGCTCTGGGGGGGGTTTACATCTACACCTACACACACACCGACTCGGGAGCCCGACCCACCCGCACACGGCCGGCCCTCGGAGTGGCCCGGCGGGGCCGGCACCTCCTGGCTCCGTACTTAAAGGCGGACAGACCGTCGACCGGCATCCCCCACCCTACCGACATCGCCTCACCGCCGCTACTACCCGCACCCGCCAAAGCAGCCCCTCAGCGGGCCGTAGCCAACACGGCCCGGCCCTGCTCAGCCCAGCAACCGACTCCCCGGGTCCAGCCGGCAGGTGCGGGCCGCCGTCCGCCTCACCTGGCACTCCCAGCTCCCCGCAGGAACCGGCCCCGCCTGCCTCCGGACACACTGCTAACCGCGAACCCGCCGCTATCCGCCCCCGGCCCCGGCGCGGGGGCCGAGGTGCCGCCGCCGCCGCCGGCCGAGGCACGCCCCGTCGGTGCGAGCGGCGGCGTTGCCATGGCAGCAGCGGGGGCTGCCCCTCCCGCTCACCTTCCAGCAGCGACGAGCACCGGCCGACGGTGGCCCCCGAGGGCCAAACTCCGCCGCCACGCCTCGGCCGCCGCGCAGGGCGGGCAACGCCCCGTTGCCATGGAAACGGGACTCCGCGCAGCGCTCCCCCCACCCCCCTCCCGTCTTTGTCCTCCATTTTCAGGTGTGAGGGCTCCTTGGAGAAGGCGCTTTTTTCTCCCTTCGCGTTAGAAAACGTCATGTAACTCTCGGAAACTAAAGCAACGCATATTACAGTGGGGAGGGAGGCGACAGCCGTGAGTGCCTGGGACAGGGGGAGCGTTCCGCTGGGCCAGCTGAGAGCCTCTTGATGCTGTTTACATTATGCACTTGTCTGGGAGCAGGCTGAGCATCAGCAGTTTTTATGTTGTATTATTCATGTTCAGGCTGGCGATGAGCAATTTGATCAGACTGAAAGCCAAGGGCATCAGAATTTGAGCTGTTGTTGGTGAAGACAAGCACTACATCTCCAAGGGGGTGCCCCTCAGTCACACATCATTCACAGAACTTGGAAACGTGATGGGAGGAGGGAAAAAAAAAAAGCCACCAAAATCCACTCTAAGTAAATCCCTTTCTGGAAAAAAAATGTCACCATAGGGCAGAGGGAAGGGCACCAGGCTGCTGGCAGCCCTCCGTGCTGGAGCTGAGGCTGCTCCCCCAGCCACACAAGGCTGGGGGATGTGATGCAGTCAGGATCATAGAATGGTTTGGGTTGGAAGGGACCTTAAAGATGATCTAGTTCCAAACCCCCTGCCATGGGCAGGGATACCTCCTACCAGACCAGGTTGCTCAAAGCCCCATCCAGCCTGGCCTTGAACACTTCCATGGATGGGGCCTCAACAACTTCTCTGTGCAACTCATTCCAGTGTCTCACCACCCTCATACTAAAAAACTTCTTCCTGATATCTATATCTACCCTCTCCCAGTTTGAAGCCATTACCCCTTGTCCTACCACTACCTGCCTCCCTATCTTTCCTGTAGGCCCCCTTTAAATACTGGAAGGCTGCCATAATGTCTCACCAGACCCTTCTCTTCTCCAGACTGAACAACCCCAACTCTCTCAGCCTGTCTTCATAGGATGTGTCATTTGAACCAAAGCTGGTCCTTCCTCAGGGTTTGGGATGTTGCTTCCCAGCATACCATGTTTTGGAGGATGATGCTCCTGAGCCCTCCCACCAGCATGCAGGTCTTGGCCATGGCAGCATGGCCCTCCTGCTTCATGGCAGAGAGACAGAGGGAGGGAGGGAGGGAGTCATCCTCACTGGTAGCACTGGTCCCCCACCCAACACTTGCTGATCCCCCAACCCAGCTGTAGCCCCCGGTTTTGAATACACTGGCCCAGCAAAGGGAAGGATGACAGTCTACAAATGCACCAGAAGGCCACACACCTAAGAGGGCAGCACTGTCCCAGCACTAAGGGGTTAATGTTAAGAAAAGAAAATAAGGGTAGAAAACAGCCATGAATACATTCAGGCAGGGTGTTGATAACTCTCAGAGTAACACGGGTAGAGTTACCCTTTTGCTCAAAGTAACATGGGGCAGAAAGCTGAACTCCTTCAAGATGGGGTTCAGGTGGTCTCTGAAAGCAGCTATCATAGGCCACACATCACAGGAGGAGGTTGGACTCCACAACCTTGAGGTTTCTGCTAATCCCACACCATACAGTTGGAAAGAGAAATGGGGTTTGACGTTGGGTTTGGCAGATTGGCATGGCTCCCTGATATTTACTCGAGATTAACACTCAGGTACCTGCTTGGCAACGGTCCCTGCTGTACCTGGAAAAACTTCAGCCAGTGACCTCACCCAGGGTCATGCAGTTATCCTGTGCTTGAAGAAAATACACTGAACCTCTGATTTTCCACATTTCACAGACAGGTGGCTTTGACAACTTCCCAGCACACTAAAACAAAGAGAGCTGGGCACTGTATCAAAGCTTTATGCTTGGCTTTTATCATATCACTTTTATCCTGTGCCTTGCAAGTCAGTGCCACCCATTCACAAGAGATGCTTTATTCAACTAATTACAAATCCACGTGATTATATGACAAGGATTAGACCACTTTGCTGGAAGATCAAGCTGTGATGCTTGACAGTGATAATATAATGATATCTTAAGGTTGATCTAAATTCATGCATGCATTCATTAACCCATATGTCATTAAATTTAGGTTTTCAGATCTTCCCGTCTGTGAGGGAGCTACAGAACAGAGTCATGAAAAAATGCAATGGAAACACTAGCCGAGCAGTGCAGGGCTCTGAGGACAGGCCAAACAATGCAGGGCTCCAAGGACATGACCCCATCTTTTATGTCACTAATGCTTCAGACACTAGGGAGCACTGATTTATGCAGAGCAAGTATGTTTGACAGAGAAAGGCTGCATAACACCTCCGGAGTAATGGAGGTTAAACAAGCACCTTAACACCTTTTGTCTGTTGCATAGGAAACAGTTGCCACTGTCAAGAGTTGCTCGTAATGGGGTCCACAGCTCCCAGTCTCCTGCCCCTTCCATAACCAAAGTCCCTCTTTCTTTCCCAGTACTTGGCTACAATCACACCAATAGAGAAAAAAACATAATCATGTCCATGCAGAGCCCTTCCCTTTCCCCAAGAACACTGCTAGAGCAGCCAGCTGTATCACATATGCACAGAGCTACAGCACGGAGAGTAACCCCACCATGGCTTGGTGGGCTGTCACAACCAGTGCCAGCCCAAGGGGACAGCAGTGAGTGCTGCTTCCAAAACAGCAGCCTCAGGCAGCTCTTACTATTCCTCACCTTTTGGACAGAAAAAGCCCAGCACCCGCCCTCTCCCACTAACAGTGATCTTAACACCCAGGAAATGTGCCACATCTTACCAGCATCATAGCAAGCCCGGTGCAGGACACAGATTCGGCAGTAACACTCACCTCCAGCAGCCCCTGGCATCAGCTGGAACAAAGAAACAGCCACAGCATCCCAGGGAGACAACCCAGCCGTGCGCAGTATTTATCTCGTATCCATCAAACCACACCGTGTGCTGTTTTGCAAATGCAGGAATTCAGCTCCTTGACAGTAGCCGGGTGTCCCTTCTCAGCGCTCTCGGCTCTTACACAGTGTGGCAGGATGTGATGGGAGGAGCAAGGAGGATTGCCATGGTTCACGTGGACTTACTTCACTTGCAGGCAAGAGCAGGCTTAGGATTCTCGTCACAGCAGCTTTCACCAGCACCAGAGACGTGAAATGCTTGAATCCACGTTAAAGGGTAACGCTATACATGTATTAGCTACTAGTTACCTTCCTGCCCTATACAAGCAGAGATTTTAAATCCTTACACTGTCAAGAAACTCATTCCTGCACAGCGGACTCCTATATTCACCCAGAGAAGGCAGATGAATGAAATTGAGCACAAGCTTGGCATGCTGACAGTCCTATCATTCCGGCCTCAGCAATAAAGCTCTCGATGCAACACTTGTAAGAATGGCAGTTTTTCCTAGACCTCCCTTCCCCCCAGACCACCCATTTTCTCTTTGTTTTGGTGGTGCACAGAGGGCTTGCTGGGCTACTACCCACACTGAACTACATCAAACTGGCAGCAGATATTCAGAGAGCACTTTCCCTTCCAGCCCAGCCTGCACTATCAGGTACAAGCCATCTCTTCTAGAAGCACGAGACAGGGAGCACTTTCTAAGGCAGTCAAGTATGGGTGTGCCAGATGTGAAATTTTACTGCATTTCTTCCTTAAGGCCTCAATTTTGTATTAGGTCAATGTAAATAGAAAGGTCCTCCTGCATGGCAAACCTGCACCTGCTTTCCCTTACAGTCACCCTCAGTGCGACTGATGCTTCCTGACCAGGGTTACCCTGCACCAGTCAGTAAGTAATTTCCTCCCCCACTGGACCAGTCTGCACTGGAACACAGTGCAAGACCCAAGACACTTGCCAGGAGTTCTGCAAACCTCCACGAAACAGTCAACTAAATAATCTTTAAGACTTGGTTCTTTTTGCATGGTTTGTCCTATATTTCGCCCCCTCCCCCAGCCTTTGTAACAAAGATGCTCAGAACAACCTGCCTCAGTCGCCTGCAGCAGTGCTGTGGATTAGCAAGGTATCAAAATGCAAAACAAACGCTGGCCACACGGGATCTCTCAGAGTATTTTTATTTAATAAAAAATAGCTATTCAATTAGAAACCACCACCGTCAACACGTTTACAGAATTTCATAGGCATCAGTAACTCTGTGTACAGCTCCAGGCAGGCTCTATAGTCAGTCACCTCATCACCACAGCAACAGCACAGTGTAGAAACCTGAACAACATCCAGGTATGGCTTCCATACATTAATAGGCCTGAGGACGCACACAGTGTGGCATCCTCTCTATTGCAGTTGCCACAGTTTCATTACTTTGGTAGAAAACATTGTTATTGCTGTAATTCTTTAGTTAATTTTTGACTTGCTTTTAAATGACCGGGTTGTTCCCCATCAAGGATTTGGTGGGTTTTTTTTTGAAAAAAATGTGATTAAAATTGAGCTGCTTTTGGTCACTTGACAAGAAGTGCCGTATGCCCATTCCTCATGCCTTGCTGCAACTGCCATCAGACCAAGGAACCCAAAGGACAGGATATGCAGGATGTGCAGTTACTATCCCTTTCCCCAGACAGCTTATCAGGTAGCATTTCATGGCTTCAGATTTGATTTTTTTTAAAAAAAACCAACACAAAACCAAACAAAAAACCCCCCAAAACAGTGACGAAAGGAATATATACATGGGTGGTTTCAAGTCTCCATTTCAGGATAAGGCAGTTAAGTGTACACGTGCAAGTGCCCATACAGCTGAGCCCCTACGTTTAGGGGGATGCCCTAGGAGGCACACTGCAAGCACAGAGAAGCTTTGGGGCGTGGGCTCCCCTGAGCAACCAGCCTCAAAGGGCTCCCCAGACAGCACATCCCAAACACATTAGTCATTCACCTTGTGTGGTAAAGGCTAAAGGTCACAAAAGTGATGAGAAAGGCCATACCTGTCCCAGCCAGGGGAGAGGAGCCTTCCTACACCCCGATGCTGTGAAGTCTCCATGGCACTAAAAGCAATCAGTGAACCAAAGCTGCTTCTTCAGGCTCCGACTGGAAGAAGCTCTAACCAGTACAGACAGAAGACATGGAGGGAAGCATGCTGCATTGCATCTTCTCCCTTACCAGTTCTCCTGTACATTTAAACTCATCACAACCTGCACAGCAACAGGGACAGTCCATAGGCCATTTTCACAGTATACCATGGACAGCTTGTTGCTGTCATGGTGCCCGAGTGCCCAAGCCCAGGACAACTCTGTGCAACTCTTTCCCACTACTGAAGCAATTTGGAAAAAAATAAATTATTTTTAAAAAACAGGTAGGAGGCAAATCCCAAATTGCTCAGGCTGAGCAAAATAAAATAAGAGAACTACCTATTTCAAACATTCATTGTCCTGCTTCGGTGGAGAGCAGAGGTAGGAATAGTGGACAGAGACTCACCAGAAGCGTGAAGGCATTTTAAAATAAGAGGAAAAACTGACAGAGCAGAAATCAGCAGGAGAGGAGAGCCACGCTGCAGAGTGCAGGCCTAAGGCCACCTCCTGTCCCAGGCCTGGAGCTCTCCAGATAGAGGTCTGTTAGAGTGCCCTTACTTCTGCCCTGCAGCAGCACTTCAGTGACAGAGAGCAGCAGTTGACTAGACAGTCACAAAGCTGCAATGGCAGCCTCCAGATGCATAGACTTAGACTAAAACCTCCCAAGGCTTTCATTCTTTGAGAAAGCTTACTGTTCTCTGCTGTACATCCCATATATGCAACAGAAGAACAAAAGGCATTTTAGAAAGAAGGTATTTGTTCTTACTTATGTAAGAGCTAATACATTTACCTTCTAAAATGTGCTACTAATATAGTATAAATATGGATCAAGTACCGTTAAGGTGACTGCCTTGGGAAGAAAAGGCAGAGATTAAAAAAACAAACTGAAACCAGACCTATATCTTCATATGTAGCCACCAAGAGTCTTCACTTGGTACACTATTGGCTTTCAGTAGATCTGCTTTCCATCCGCTTTTGTCTTCTTCTGTAAGCTTTCATAACACTGAATATGCCACTGCCCAAGAACACCAGTGAGATGGCCGCAAAGTAAGAGGCATAAATCATGAACTGCAGAGAAGGGGAAAAAAAAAAAGTGGTTAAACCAAGCAGTTACCAAATTTGTAACAAGGTTAATAGACAAACTCCCTCTTGTCTGAATCAGGAATCAGTGATTTCTCTGTCAGCAAGCCTTTGACTCAGAAGCAGGTAGCTGAGAAGCTTTACAGCCTGGTTTACCTTCTTCCCTCCCATCAGTAAAGCTAAGAGAGCCTGTCATACCTGGGTGAAGATGTCCAACCCAAGCCCGCTGGCATCCACAACAATCAAAGTGAGTAGAGTCTGAAGTGCTAAGGCAATGAAAGTATTGACCCCAAACACCAGGGCGTACCGCTCCACACTGAGATTTGTAGCAATCTGGAACCTGGAAAGAAAGGGATGTCCAGAAATATAAAGACAGGAAAAAAAAAAAGCACGGAAATGCAAGAATAGAAGGAACATCTCTGGACAAGAAGCCTATGCAACCTGAAGAATTCCATAGACTGGTCCAGTACTTTCCACAGCTAAATTACCTCACGCTGACAATGTAATTCTCCAAACAGGATCATGACAAAACTAGCATAGGGACTAGAAGATATCCACGTGGCTAAAAAAAAGCCTTTGGGAGCTCTGTGGGTTTCAGTCTTACTGAAGCAGCGCTCCTGCCCAATGCAGCTAAAGGGTCCTGTCACACAAAGAAGATACAGCACTCCCTAATCCCAGAGAGATTGGCAGTCTCAACGCATCAGCCTACTGAAGTGTGGTCCATAACCTCCTGCATCCTTCTGACCAGAACTCCCTTTGCAGTTACTGTTTCAACATCTCTCCTCATGTTGTGCTTGAGCTGTATTATAGCTGTTATGTATGTGTGGCTCAACAACAGCTATGTTTTCCTCCCCACAGTGACAAATAACATCAAAAAAATTCTTGTACAGTTTAAGGAAAGTTGACACTTCAACACAGGAAAGGTATTGACCTTCCCTCATACATTAACACATCACTCCAGCCATGTTTATGAAAAACATTCCCCTAGCGAGCAGCACTATCTAGTATTTAGAAATAGTCACTTCAGTGTCACAACACTTTTAAGCCTGGGCAGACTGCCAGCCAAATATATCTCTGTGCCTCAGTTTCTACACAACCCCTTGCAACAGATTTCCAAATTCCTCATAGGCGAGACCGTGGTTACACGGAAAATATGCCAGCTTTCACACCAGCTGTAACCTTGAGAGCAATTTACATTGAAGAGATACTCACGTTGCTATTGTGATTAGCAGCATGTAGATGATTCTGAAGACAACATATGACGCATAGCACGCCCAGATGTTACGAACAGTGTCCATGATATATACAGCAGCAGCAATAAGAAAGGAGAAAAGGGAAAGTGCCACCTCACCCCACATTGCCCAGGATGTTTTTATGTGACCCACAACAAACACTGCAACAGCTCCTGTGAGGGGAAAGAAAGCATAACTGTTAGTTATCAGAACTGGAGCAATTTGGAGACTGCATTAGAATATGTACAGCCCCTAACAGCCAAATATGACTGAAGTAGGGAACACTAATGTGCATACCTTAGCAGCTCTTCTTCCTGACCTCTCCCTCACCTGGAAGCCTGCTGTAAATCTCACTTTTACAGAAACAGGGAAAAAAAATAGCCCCAAACCCCTAAACAAGTCAATGCTGACTGCCTCTGAAGTCTGCTCCCCGGCTTCAGAAGCACAACAGCCCCAGGAGTCAGACCACTGCCACTCAGTCCTCTGCACCTGACCCTAGCAGTGTTGTCAACTGGGCTACAGAGAAATGCAAACCTGGGTTCTCAAAAGCACTCAGCTGATTATTTAGTGGTGCTTTAGGAGGTTAGGATGGAGGTAGACTTTACCCACTGTGATAAATAGCTGGTAGAGCTGTCTCCCAGGAGGCAGAAGAACCTACAGCCCAGCGCAAAGATGACAGCAACTGTCAGATTAAGAGCAGGGGTCCAAATCCACATCTCCCAGTATGCAACCTAATCACAAGCTACAATCATGTGCTGTTGGTTGTGCAAGAACAATCCTTTAGAGCCAGAACAGGTTTGTAACTCCTACTGGATTTTACAAAGCAGGGATAGGGAAAGAAGACAGATCACAAGATGTAACGCGTGTGGTATTATTTCATGGAAGTGAAGAAGCAGACAATATATTTCATGCACCATCACAGCTATAATTAGTGAGAAGCCCAAATACACATTACATTACAAGAAAATCCTTATTTGAATTAGGCCTTGCTTTGCAAACAAGTCAGATGGCAACCAACAGCATAACAACGCTGCTGTACACAGCAAACTGGACAAACAGCATACTGACAAAGGGAGGCTTACTGGAGATGTCTGAAAACCAGGATTGTATTCAGCATTTGACCACTGTACAGAAGTGCTACAGTGCAGCATCTAAGCTCTTTGTACTCCTCAGCTGGCCTGCTATCTTGGAAGAACTTCAAGCACACGAAGACTCCTTAGGTACCATCAGTGCGTACAAGCCTGCAACCCTGTCAGACCTCACATCAATCTTGCAGACTAGTAAAGAAGCTTGCTATGTCAAGGGAAAGGAATTTATTCCCCCTCACTAAACTCTTCTTTCCAGTGCCTGCTGTGACACTACCTGACTGATATTTTGCTCTTTGGAAGTCTGGCTTTCCCAGTAGCAAAACCCTGAGATGCAAATAGAAGTTAAGTTCCAGAGCCTTCTTCCTACTTACTCAGCAATTCTGAAATTTGGGTTCAGACACTACTCTCTGGGAATCTCATTCCCCCTGTGTGTCAAGGCTGCAGCAGCCTGACACCTAGTTATGACAAGATATACAATCTATGTCGTGCAATCAGGTACCGACAGCTGATTCAGTGGTTTCACACCCTAACCTGATAAAGGATTGCCACATTCCCAAGAAGGTGCAGGGATGCTGCTTAACAGTTGACCTCACTAGAAGGAATACTATTTATCTTGTCTGGGACAGGAAGCTGACAGCCACGTGAGTCACCACATGCTACTCAAACCCTTCTGTGGGGCAGCGCAGGTACAGGCAGTGATGGCAACAGCATCTTACCTGAAGGCTGCCAAACATTGCTCATAATTGAGCACAGAATGTCTAAGAGCCATGAAAATGGCAAATCAGATCCAGGATGCACAAGGAAAGGCATTTTTAGTAAAGGGGAAAAGACCGTTAATGTTCTTCTACAAGTCTGAGGCCTCACTGGATAAAGCTGAGTGCAGCTCTGGTTACCCATCTTCAAAAAGAATGCAGCTCAAGCCAGTTTTGGTACAAAGAGGGGCTAGGAAGATGACAAAGTGAACAAAGAGCTTCAGTTTACCCAAGAACAACTAGAAAAGCTTGGCTACTTTGGCCTAGAGCAAAGAACACATGTCTATAGATAGGCCTGAATGAGACAGTTTTGTGCTAAAATGCATCCTTGGCATGAAGTCAGAGATAAAAGAACTGTTCATTAATAAATTCAAACTGGAAATCAGAAGTTAGAGCATTTGCACTAGTGCCTAGGAGATTAGTCACTGGATGCTTATCCTTAACAGGTCCCTTCCAGCCTTGTTGTAATCTCAACTGAAAGCTTGGAGTGCATTACTTCACTAAACTTCACTTATTCCAAGCAACAAATCAGTGTCAAACAGAAGGGGGGGTTATTCAGGGAGAGAGGCTAATTTCCTTTCAGAAAACATCACTTTAAATCATTCAACCATTTAGAGGAAAAAAATCAAAATGGGAAACTAAAAGCTCCAGTTTTGCATGAATTCAGTGCCAACCACCTCTTCTGCCAATAGGTCCATTGTTGACAGAACTTTTAAAAGAAAAGGACCTTGATATCAAATATGATCATAATAAGGTTTGAAGAACACTTTTTTTATTTTTAAAAATCTGCCCACATTTGACCATGCTATAGGTCCTCTTTCCCTTGATACCAATTCTTCTCCTTCCCAGGACCAAGGCAGGATGGTAGAGGAAACCAAACCAAACAAGAAATAAGAGCCACAGCATCGTGCTAGAGCAGAGGAACAGTGTATGACTGCATGCTATTAAAGTGCAGGTTTAGCACACCAAAGACAATTAATAGCCAAAGCCTTCAGAATCAAGTTGCCAACAGTTTCAAACCCAACTAACAATGGGTGGTAGACCAGCTTTTAGAACTATAAAAGAGCTGTGGCTTCCCACTGAACTCCAAGAAGGGGCTGAACATGCCCAAGAAAGCACTAGCCTTCTTTGTGTACCTTGATTTCTTTTGCCCTCAAATAGGTGATGTCCATAGCAGAGAGTATAACAATGACTCCATCAAAGAAAAGGAATGTACTACAGCAACACCTAGAGAGTGTATGTTAGCTATATTAAGAAGGTATTGTCCTAGTTCTGGTAATGGAACAGTATTAAACAACTTAATACAAATAAAATGTTTATGTTGACTGACCTACCTGGCCCTTTCAAGTCAAGCAACTTCTTTCATCTTAATAGCTCTTCTGCCTAACAGTGCTGAAATGACTAAACGTGGCTCACGGCATGCTGCGTGTACAGGAAACCTTCACATGTTCCCTATGCTGCCAGAGAAAAAGAGCAGTAAACCCATAGGGCACTTAGTTTGACTTGGAGTGGTTAAAACAAGCATAATCCCACTGCCATAGGGGCAGTCAAGATTACAGAGTCAGCCATATGCCCGGAGCCTTCTGCCAAATATTTCAGAACAGAATGAAGATTGACTTGGGAGGTTCCTTTAAGCACCCACACACTGGATTACAAGAACGAGGGCTGTGTGCAGCAGCAAACTCAACACTGACTACCTCACCCATGCATGTCAGGGAACACTCACCCCAAATGCTGGGGTTGCCCCTTCTGCATGCTTGAGGGAATGCAAGACACTCGGTAACCATGCTCTGGTGACCTCTGAGGGACACAAGGCATTTCTCACGGCAGAGTTGGAGCAATGCCAGCAGCTTACCTAGCAGCGTTGAGACCGCCTCTACAGCACCATTGTAGATCTCCGTGTTGTGAGAAGGCAGCACCATCTCCCACAGGCCCTGAGCGTAGTTGATGACCTGGAAGTAGCCACAGGTGGACAGTGCCCACCACACAGACCAGCAGAGCATTGTGCGGGAGGAGTAGCACTGCAGGAAGTCTTTCCAGAGATCTTTGAGAACCTTCACAATGTCTACTTTCTGCACCTGCATAGATTGGAGAAGGAAGGGGAGACAGATGTTAGTCTTTGTTTATAAATATTTCACACTGCTCTGCAGTGACATCACTCTTTCAAGTGGTCTGATCACGAGTGAGTGACAGTACCACTCTTGGACACAAACCTCCACAGAATAATGAATAAAAAGCTTCCCCATCCCACGTTCCCAGCAGTTGGTCTCATCTCTAACCAGGGTTGTCCCCATACATGCAGAGAAAGTGGCCAGCCCCAAGCACCTCTCAATCTCCGTCTCTCTCAAGCAGAGAGCAGTAACTGCTAGGTGTTAGAAGTACTACATGAGCTAGGGTACCAGAGAGAAGAGACACAGAACAGGACACGACATCCACTTAAACAGGACAGGACCAGAGCCAGTCATTCAAATCATATGAGGCAAAAAGCACTACTAACGCTTTTAAGTGCTGATCCAAATTCAACCAAATTTGGCAACACAGTGAACATGGAAGCTGCCTGATGAGTATACTTCCCCCCAAGCAAGTCACTTTGCTGCTTTGATTATTTATAATCCCTGAATGCTAGGACTAAAGAAATCTCACTACACCCGACTCTACCTCTGTTAGTGTTCACCAAGGCTCTGAGAAGGTGAGAGACGTTGCCTGTGGATCTGAAGAGAAACAGAAGCTACTTCTACCAGACACTGCTATCGCAAATGGCAGCTCCTGTACATACAAGTGCTCTGAAAAATGGCATGAGATAAAAATGAAGCTTTCCCCTCCAAATCTTTCTAGAAAGAGCACAGAAGGGGGCACGCCCACAAATTGGTTTGAAAAAAAATAATTATATTAGATGCATGCACATATACGCACAGCCTTTCTAGACAGGCAAGACTGTTCTTGTGTAGCTCAGAGCGACAGTTATTTCATGTGAGACTGGGCAGAGCCCCCAAGGCCCACCAAGCACCTCTAGCACCTATGAACTTGGATTCCCTGCAGGCAAACACACAGCACCGAGCTGTTACATACTGTGCTGTTCCATACCAGTTCCAGAGCAGCTTCCAAACAGCTGCATTAACTCTGGGCTCTTGGCGGTGCACCCTTTCCCTGGGGAAATTGTGCAGTGTGTGTCTGGGAAAGGCTATTCTCCGTGAACAAGAAAAGTAATTTTGGGGGGGTTTCTACTAAAACCTCCAAAGACCATCACCTAACTCTGTCTCAAACACCCTTTTCTCCACCCCTTGAAGCGTCACTGATTTCTGAGCATCTTTATTAAACACTACACAGTCTTGGTGGTGCTTTGCCAATGGAAAAGCATTTGCTCTGTGTGGGGGTGCTGCTCCTCCAGAGCCCAACAGAACAACTCAGGAAGAGGTCAGCTTGCAGCAAGGCAAGTCTAACAACGCAACTCCCACACCAAAGGTTTCACACGAAGCTCAAGATGAGGCGCTGGAAGACCAGGGGAAGGAACTGCCACATACACTGCAAAAACTGATCTCCCCCATTCAAGCCAAGCATGTGCCAGAGAAACCCATCAACCCTCCCACCACCTGACAGTGCTTTTTCAGTACAATTATTCATACAGCTGTTCGTTTATGCTTGTGAAACACAGCTGCTGTTACATTAGTAAGGACTATCATCACACACCAGTGCTTCTCAGCTTTTAGCACCTGGTATAACTGAACTCCTCACAGATATGCAAGTGTACTCACTCCTTTTTTAAAGTTTTCACCATTAGTGTGGCACCACCTTTGTTCTCCCAGGATAGGAGTAAGATAAACAAAAGGGACAGATAAAGTGCTATTAATACCCTACTCGTTACTGGTACAGAATTTGTCTTAACAAATACCCTTCAGTATGCAAGTATAACTTGGTTAAGAATACTTCTGCTCACACAAGACTGGGCTGGATGGGGCAGGATTAGGTCCCTGGAATGTTAATACCTTTAATTCCCAGCTGTAGCCAAAGGAAGCCAAAAGCAGCCCCGTATGCTGCCTCCTCCGCCTGAGCTAACCAGGGCTTACTTGCTAAAGTGAAATACCCGTTACCTGACTAACCCAACAGCCACACTTACCTTCTGGCTCGCTCTCAGGACGAGCACAACCTCCTTTTGACCAAGGAGCAAAGCTGACCTCTCCCCAGGGCCCTGAATCCCCCTGCTGCAACAGGCTCTCCATACACCTGCAGTACCCAGAGCAGTGTGGCAGAGCTCTGCCCAGCTCACAGTTACACACCTCCACCGGGCCTCAAAACCAGAGGCTGCCCCCTCAGCCTTCTCGTGGGACCCAACACATCCCACTGCTGAACGAGTGACTTTTTCACAGGTTACATGGCCAACAAAAGCTACAGGTCAAGGCACTGCCTTGGTGCTCTTATGGGCTACATTAAGCTGTTATTACGCAAAGGTGTTTCCTGCGATTTATCCGCATTCTGCCCACCTATAACTAATCAATATCAGCCTTTAAGTGCTCTTGAGGACTACTGTAGTTTCCTTTCTAGACCAGTTTCCTTCCAGCATCATAAGGTAAAACCCAATTACTGCACAGCTTATTACTGCACAACTTGCACAACAGTTGAAGTAACAAGTTTTCTCAAAACACGAGTGCAGGAAGAATTGCCTCTTATGCAAGTCACAGAGTGTATCCAGAAACACACACACAGAATTTGGATGCATAAACAATTTTTAGTGCCCCAGAAATGTCCCTTCCTTCATACCGTTGAATGGCAATTTGATGCCCAGAGAACTTTAATCACAGCCCTGTGAGATATGCAAAATGACCTCATAAATCTGAGGAGCAGCCTGTCACGCTTAATCAGCAAAGGGAAGCCAGGAATAAGTTTTCCCGCACTATAAATAAGGAAGTGGGATAAGCAAAACAATACTTTTCACTATTGGATATTACATCTTTACTGCTGTGCACTTACACACACGTATGTACACATACATAGACACACATATACAGGCATGACAGCCATATCAGTATTGCATCTCCTACTTGTGCAAGCCCAGGGCACAACTCACCCGTTTCTCTGCTGAATGACCCTCCCCGTTTAGGGGAGCTTTTGTCTCATCCTCCCAGCCAGGTGCACTCTGAACATTGGGACGATCCTGGACAGCAGATCCATTTTTACAGTCCATGACCTTCATTTCCCAACTGAGCTGCTGACTGGAGACGTGGTGAAAGAAAAGGCTTTTTTGTGGCATCGGCAGGAACCACGCTGTACCGAAGGCAATGGATATGCTGGTTAAGGAGATAACGTTCAAGCTGAAGAGGGACCACCCTGCCACCGACACAAGGACCTGCCCAGACACCGAGCCCACTGTGTAGCCCACGAGGGTGGCGCTCCTGCAGTAGCTGGTGACCTTCTGGTACAGGTTGATGTCGACGATGCTGTAGATGTAGGAGTAATAAGCAATGTCAGTGGCGGTCCCCATCCCGTAGAAGAACTCCAGGAGCTGGACGGCCCGCAGCCCCTGGACGTACAGCAGCATGAACCAGGTGATGATGAGGCTCAGGCCTTGCAGCAGGACCACAGGCTTGTACCGCAGGTAGTCCGTGGCCAGGAACACGGGGAAGAGCAGCGCCAGGTAGGAGTAAGTCCACACCGGGTAAATCTCGTTGAACACCTGAGGGGCGAGAGAAGAGCCAGCGGTAACCCACGCACCGGGAAAGCGCAGACACTGGGGCCGAGGGGGCGAGCCGCCCCGGGCTGCGGTACCTGGGTCTCGGAGAGGTTTTTGTGCGGCTCCAGCAGGTACCGCGTGAGGAAGGGCTCCGAGGGCCGCACGTTGCAGAAGAAGCCATAGGCGCACAGCAGCCCCGTCGGCAGAGCCCAGCAGCACCCGTCGCCGCCAGCCCGGGAGGAGCGGCGAGCCAGCCGGCCCCCCCACGGCCCCGCCATGCTGTGCGGGGGCCGGGCCGGGCCGGAGGCGCTCCGGGGCGCAGGCCAGCGGGGGGACTGCGGCCTGTCCCCGCTCACCTCCAGCCGCCTCCCGAAAGGCACCTCCAGCCGCGGCCCGCGGCGC